ATTGTGGCCAAACCTTCGGCAGCTGGAAAGAAACTCACATTCTGGATAAACTTGATATTTCTCCTTTTTTGAGAAATGGATTTTTATATTTTTCATATAAGAAATTAATGGGAATTTAATGAGGGCCAGAGATTTTTCAAAACTTGACAATTAATTCTCTTTAATTTGATATATATGTGGATCTAATTCTTCCCAACATCAATCCATTTTCATGCATGTAAACGAGCCTTGACCTGCCATTTTTGATATATATGTGTGTGATAAGTGCTATATATTAACATCTTAAATCAACTACACTCCCTGTGTTTCTTTTCTGTAAGATGCACTTCTAATGTAGTAGATTTTTTTATTAAAAAAATGAAAATAAAAAATAAAAAACACCTCAAGATTTATAAAAATATTACCAAAGATGTGCTTTTGGTATTAGAATTTGAATAAATTTCAACCGTTCAAGTCATTTATAGTGGAGATCACAGGAATAAATTGTTTGAATTTTATATAAAAGTTATTTATAAAACTTTTGTGCAATTTTATCCAAGTTCTTAGATTGATTGTGCAAAACTATAGTTAAACGCAAACTATTTTTGATATCTGTTACGAGTACTCTTTTTTGCGAAAAAGTAAACGAGATTGTATTATATTGTATTAAATTGAATTTATTAATAAATAATCATAGTCTTTTAAGCAAAGTTTTTTTTATTAATCTCTTTAATATTTAAAAATCACATTAAATTTTAATTAATATAAAATTAAATTGTGTAAAATTCGATAAAAAAACACTCTCTCAACATATATTTTTTTATGTAAAAGAGTCAAATTCAAAATTTTATTTAAAAGCAAATAAATTCATTATGTTTAGACTTATAAGTCATTAGTTTTTTTAAACAAAATTTAGACTTCAAATATTAACGTTAATGTCTAAATAAATTATTTTTTTTTTGAACAGGGGGAAATATGGGGGAAAAGGGGAATAAGAACTGCTATTGCAGTTTGAACTCTTACCGAAACCAAGAGATTAAGAGTTAAGTATACCCGAACTAAATCAATCAAAGCTGCGGGTGTAATAAATTAATTCTTTTAAATATATTAAATAACAACAAAAATATACTCTTTATAAATTAATTAAAAAATAATTTTAACCTGCATGAAAGTTTATATGCAGACGCTCATACTGTCTTGAAAAAAAAAAAAAGTGTAGTATTGCAATGAGCTTTAGGGGGGGTTTCATAAAGAAAAACAATAGGAATATTTTTATGCAATTTTTATATTAAAAAAAATGAGTTTGTTACGTACACCCGTTTTTCTTTTTCTTTTGGCGGGTAGGTTGCTGATTGGATAAAGAACTTAATGGGCAAATTAAACGGATTTCAAAAGTTTAATTTGTTTTGATAACTGAACATTTAAAATAAATAAAATAAAAAGAGAATCAGAATTTGTTTCCTATTCTGGTAATATTTTCTCTTCCAGTAGAATTTACTAGATCGTCTTCTCTTTCCTCTTCCTCCTCAACTCTGTAGCGCAGACAAATGCTCGTTTCCGCTCACTCGTCGCCGTGATCACCGCGACGACCTCCTCTACCTCTCCTTAATCGGATTCCGTTCGACTACCTGATTTTTGACCTGGAAAAGGAAGGATTCTGGCGCTGTTTTTTCGCCTTCGGATTATGGCATCTGAGGATGTGAAGACCAGCGACTCTGCAGTTTCGAAGATCGTGAATCTCGCAGGAGAAGCGAAGCTCGCCAGTGAAGGAGTTAAAGCTCCGACTTACGCCGTTCAAAGTATCGTCAAGTCTCTCATTGCCGGTGGCGTCGCTGGTGGAGTGTCAGTCCTTGTGTCCTTTGGATTTGTGTCTCTCGTGGTTTTTGAATCGCATGCTTCTGTTTTTGGATTTTTAATCTTTTTCACTTGCTATCGTTTCCTGTAGAGAGTCTGCTTCTTCGTTTTTTTCTCGAAATAGTTTCATCATGTATCACTATTTTCTCTTTTAGTTTTATTTGTTTATGTTAAATTGTGTATTCTGAACCTGTGAATCCATTTCTACTCGCTAAGTTACGATTTTGTTTTTCTTTTCGTTTTTCTTGTTTGCTTTGTTCAAGTGAATTTAGCTAGTATAATTTAGTCCGAACATGTTTTTATGTTAATATAGTGTTCAATTGTTTCTAATGGATCTGAGGGATTTTTCTTTGACTTTATTCAATTTTATGTGCATGCTGGTATATTTAGTAATGACTTTAATTTTAATTTTAATTTTAATTTTTTTAGAAATGAGTAATTGGTTCCTTGAACATATTGGTCTTGATTGTTGAATATGCTTTTGCTTCTCCAATGTCAAGGAAAACTAAAACTTTGCCTCGGTTGTTGCTTTATTGACAAGATTAGATGGTTGAATTGGATATTCATAAGTAATTCAGTTGCCTTCCTTATGTATGAACACTTTTGTTTTCAAGTGGTAATAGCATAATGCAAAGATATAGTCAGTTGGAGCTATATAAATTCCCAGCTGCTTCTATAGTTTGAAAATTAGTAGTGGGAATCTGTTGAGGTCAGATGGAGAAATATTACAATCTTGATATGTTAACCAGATGGTCACCAGTCATGTTTGTTAGACATACTTGAACTGGGAAAAAGGATCATGATGCTTTGATGATCCCTTAATTTTCAGTTTGCCTGCACTGCACTGGATTTATTGTTTTACTTCATTTTTTTTTTTTCCAGTTCACGTACTGCTGTTGCTCCCTTGGAGAGATTAAAAATTTTGCTCCAGGTATTGTCTTGATATTATTTTATTTATATATCATTAGTTCATGAACTAGTGCTTCTTAGTGAGTTAGTGTTTACTGTCGGTATCCTCATTTTTCTTTCTGAGAGGATTTAACTTCATGTTGTTTTTCACATTTGTAGTTACCATTCATCTATTCTCATCTATATTTGTTTGCATGTTTCTTAGAGTATTAGGATTCTAGTTCTTTATCTAGATTACAGAATTTTGGGGTTTGTTTTCTTGGATCTGCAGGTTCAGAATCCTCATAGTATAAAATACAGTGGAACGATCCAGGGTTTAAAATATATTTGGAGAACTGAGGGTTTCCGAGGAATGTTTAAAGGCAATGGTACTAATTGTGTTCGCATCATCCCAAACTCAGCAGTGAAGTTTTTTAGTTATGAGGAAGCATCCAAGTAAGTATTGTTGATTCCTTGCCTTTAAAATAAACAGTGCTGTTCATTTTGATTCTCTATTCAAGGAAAAAAGAACCATGAAATGGGTTTTAATGGTCTTTATATTACTAAGATTAATTTGTTAATCTTTGAAAACAGGGGTATTCTGTGGCTTTACCGGAAGCAAACTGGAAATGGTATGGCACCATCCTCCTTTTTTTTTTTTCTTTATGCTTTGTTGTTGTTGTTGTTGTTGTTGCCATTCTTGTGTCAAAGAAAAAAATGCTAAGTCAGAGACAATGTTGTTTGGGGACTGTTTCAATTGAGCACGTACCACTGCATGTTGGTTGGCCCCTGGTTGTAGTAAAGAATGTTCTTTCTTTTTATGTTTTTTTATTGTTAATAGTTGTTATTCTTTCTTTAGAGGATGCTCAGCTCACTCCACTTCTACGTCTTGGGGCTGGTGCTTGTGCTGGAATTATTGCCATGTCAGCCACGTACCCCATGGATATGGTCCGGGGCCGTCTAACGGTCCAGGTAATATCTTTGAGGTTCTTTCTGGGAATTTAATTTAAGGACTTAATCCTTGACAAAAACTCTGTTGACATCAGGTTTGTGCTGCACTTCCTCTTCTGACTTCAATGGCCTAATTTTATCTGCATGTTCATGTTTTGCAGACTGACAAGTCTCCTCGCCAGTATAGAGGAATCTTCCATGCTCTTTCAACTGTCCTTAAAGAAGAAGGGCCACGTGCTTTGTACAAAGGCTGGCTTCCTTCTGTGATTGGAGTTGTAAGTAGAACCTTTTTGTTATGAATTCCTGCATGTGGACTACCATCTCTTCATTGTTCCACCAAGTGGTGCAGAAGTTTACATATAAATAATTTTAAATTTTTTGCTTGGATAACAACTTATTATCTTCTATAGGCCTGAGCTAGGCAGTCGCTATCTCTTTTTTAGGAAAGTGAGTTAGCATATCTGTTGAATGTGCCAACAAACTTCTACTATCTTTATTTCTACATACAATTCTAAAAATCTTTTGTGATGTGGTATAGGTACCATATGTAGGTCTAAACTTTGCTGTGTATGAATCTCTGAAAGACTGGTTGATAAAAAGTAAACCATATGGGCTAGTTGAGGACTCCCAGTTGAGTGTCACCACAAAGCTTGCATGTGGGGCTGCTGCTGGAACTGTTGGCCAGACAGTTGCTTACCCTCTTGACGTCATTCGGAGGAGAATGCAGATGGTAGGCTGGAAAGATGCTGCTTCAGTTGTTACTGGCTATGGGAAGATTAAAGCACCAATTGAATATGCTGGTATGGTAGATGCGTTCAGGAAAACAGTCAGGCATGAGGGATTTGGAGCATTATACAAGGGCTTAGTTCCCAATTCAGTCAAGGTTAGTATATTTTTCAACTCTCCCTAACCAACATCCTGTTATATATTGTACAAACATGTCCCTCGCAGCAGATATTGCTTTACTAGTCCATTTATAGTGTCTTTTACTCCATTTTGATCTCTCTCGATCTCTCTCTCTCTCTCAATAATAATAATAATAATTAAATTTTAATCATTAATACTATCTGTAATTTTGTTTAGGTGGTCCCATCAATAGCAATTGCATTCGTCACATACGAGTTGGCGAAGGACATCCTCCAAGTTGAATTTAGGATATCTGACTAAACGAACCGTAAGACTTTTATTGATCCTTTTATGTTCATCTCGCGAGCAGAATTATTAGAAAAGTTATACCATCAGAAATTATATTTAGTTAGAAGCCTTCTTTTAGGTAATCTCTGTTCCTTGCATCTTAGTATTTTAGCTGATTCGTATATATTATAAATGAATATCAGAAAATAATGCAGTTAATAAGAGCCTTACCGTATTACACTACTGAATCCAAAATTACCAGCCTCGAAGTTTTAAATATTTCTTGAGATTTTTTTTTTTTTTTGAGCATTTTATCGTGGGGTCAACTCAAACCGTTGTCTTGAAAGAAATATAAACCTTACAAATGTGACTAGTGCCACTTGTTTGAAGGGACAGGCTCTTCTTGAGATTGTTTTTGTCGATATGATAAAAAATAATTTGCATTATTGCTGCCTCCTTTTGATTGTTATTAATTGATTTCTTTTTTTTTTTTTTTTCATTCTTATCAATAATTGTTGTTAATTGTTAATACTAGAAAAATGAAAAAGATGTGGTAATGATGAGATGGTAAGAATTT